AAATTTTCAATTGGTTTGGACATTAAATCAGAGAATATATATATATATGGATGCTACTATAGACATAATAAATAGACTGAACATATTGCGTAAAACCTGGCTCGCATATGCGGAAGAGAAGGAATACAAGTCTCTTTTCTTTTTCACTTTCTTTTGTTAGAGAGAGAGAGAGAGAGAAGAAAAATTTGAGTTGTCTTCCTTTGCTTCTTACATGTGCGAACCATTGTCTAGTACAAAATATATTTGATTTATATGTCTATGGATGCATATCTTGCATTTAAGATAACATGCCGTTCCTGAAGCAAAGCATTGCGCGATTTTGTTCCAACTATTTGATTGGTTCGTTATTACAGACTAAAAAGTGGTAAGAGAAAGTGATAGACATCCATTAGGAAAATCGGTCGAAAATTACACATTTTGGCAAGCACTAAGATGGCATACTGCCGCCATAGTTTGTTCAATATTATTAGAATGATATAACCAGAATAATGTTATCATAATTAACTTTGGATGACATAATGTAAAAAAGGTCCATATGAAACATTTGTAAAATAAACAAGTTTCATAGCAAATGCTCAAAGATTGTTTCAATTGTATAGGTAGGCTTGGAATTTTTCTTTAGAAGAGTATTTATGATTTGTAATTTTGTCGTTTAAATTGTTGTAAAAATTCTCGATATCATATCTTCACGAGTTCAAGACGGACGAAATAAATTCTTTAACTTTTTTCCAAAAATAAGAAAACAGTTTTGTAATATCTAAAGAGAAATGTTATTGATTTTGATTTGATTTTCCAATCCATTTTGTAGAAAATATATTTATTTGTTAATATTTGTCTGGAAAAAATTTAAAAGTAAATTAGAGCATCATGTAACTGTATCGTTTTGAACTTGCTGTGGAATATATTTTCGAGTAATCCTAGAACAGAAGACAACTCCATCAAAGAAGTATAGCTCAATTAAATTTTAATTAAATACATTTATGATTCGGTGTTGATGACCAATATTTCGTATCTTATGGAAATTTTTGATGAATCTCGCACTCTCGAGTTATTCGATCGTCTCTCCCTATTAGACTTATCCTGTATGTACATAAATTCGATCTCTTACGAATATGCATATTTCTGCAATCAATTTCACAACTGGTCCACGATCTCTTTTTTGACATTATCAATTAATACCTAATGTCTAAGTTAAGTAATTTTACGACTTTTTTATTTTCTCCAATTCCAACCTGACATTATATTTGTTTCGAACGTATTCACAACATAACAGGAGTTATACTCTGTTTGCATAAAACGATCGAGTAACACCGACATTTCATAAACTTGTATTGTTTAATGTGTTGTAAGCACAATAAATATCATCACGTGATGCCTGCTCGGTAAGCAGGAGATTCAGGTTTGATTTTTGGTTGAAATGATATTTTTCGCAAAAATAATAATTACGAATTTTCACGTTCGTGATCAGGCCTTGCCGTGACGCATACTCGTCCTTCTTATTTAGGATTTCATACACATATGCAATTTCACACACGATTTCACACACACACACATACACACACACACACACACACACACACACACACCACGCGCGCGCGCGCGCGCGCATTATTTATCTTTTTCAACACAAGAGCAAAATTAATATGATACTATTATACTATACTGTTACACTATAATTTTTAACTTCTTGATGCATAATTGTCAAAACGATCCTTGCTGTGAGATCGATATAATGACAGCTATTCACGAAGTTAGCGCAGCGAGAGAATCAATCAGCATCGCGGAAAAGTGTCAACAATAAACTTCGAGAAAATTTCGAGAGATGCGAGTATCGAT